GAAGACGGGCCCTTGTTTTTTTTTTTGAAAAAAATATTGGGTTCGATTCGGACCGAGCCGACAATTGGGACAAACCTGACAACGGTCAACTTTTTTTAAAAGTGTGGGCCGGGCCGGGCCCAACGATAATGAAAAAAAAAGAATAGCCTTCCAATTAAGTGGACCGTTGAGATCCAACGACCGACAGTTGATCGACCCGTCGGGTGACCCAAAACCCGGCGAATTTCTGCCAAAAAAAAAGAAAATTAAAAAACCCAAAATTCAATTAAAAGACCCTGATTTTTTTTTCCTATAAATACCCCACTCATTTAATCATCCCAATCTCTATCTCAAATCTCGATCTCTCTTCTTCTCTCCTTCAAATTAAATTCTAGCTCTTAGCCTCTTAAGTGCTCGGTTTTTAGTTTGTGCTCAAGTTTGTAAAAATCTCAAAAAAATAATTGATAAATACTTCACCCTCTTTCATTTTTTATACTATTCTTCAATCTTTTTATATTTTATATTTTATTCATGAAATTACAAAATGTCGAGCTCTCGTGGTGGTCGTGGTTAAAAATATCGGCGCATCTTCTTCGAGACCTCCATTGCCGGCAATGGTGAGACCAACAATAAAGGTGAATGTTCTCGGTGTAACTGATGATATTGATGCTGCGACGATCGTGCGCATGTTTGACTTCATTCAGCCTAAGGAGATCCAACAGGCCGTACACGAAGAGTACAAACAAGGGCAGCAGCAGCCGTATCACGAAGATTTGGATGATATATTTGAAGGGACTCTGGAGCCTCATCAAGATATGCAGGCGCATGTGGACCCCGTCTCCATCTTCGGCCATACAAGTTAATAAAAAATGTTGGGATCTGCCATGTTCGAACGACATTACACGAAGGTGCCCAATCCGGAAAAACGTGGGAATCACTTTTTTGCTATTTTCAACTAATGTCTGGTCAACTCCAAGAAGAAGTATCATTTCAGAAAAGGCGATGAGCACGGAACGTTGAACAAACACTTAAAGAACTATCAGCCGAAAAATAGGAAATCGTCGCGGCACAGACGCAACTCCCGAGTAGCAACGCTGCATCCGCCACAACTGGTACATGTACACCATCTTTATTTCATTACTCGCATGAAAATCATAGACGTCATTTAGCCGAATTTATTTCTGCTTCATCTCTTCCTTTTAGTTTTGGTGATAGTGATTTGTATAAATAATTTGATCAAATGGCTTTGAACTCGGCTGCCCACCGGGTTCCACGTTCTACTCTTACTCACGATATTCAAAATATAGTGGGTGAAAAAAAATTAGTTTGCAAGAAACTTTTAAATCTTTAAATCATAGACTATCCACTTGTGTTGATATCTAGTCCGATCATTGGCAGAATAACTACATTTAAGAAAGACTTGTCAATGGATTGATGAAAGTTGGACTTTATGAAAATGTTTAATCGGTTACGTTGCATTTCTTGGACGACACACCGCTTCTAATATAGCTTGTTTAATTTAAAAAATTGAGGATAAATATAAAATAGGTAAAAAAGTGTTTTCCATTTCGTTTGATAATGCTACTGGCAATACTGCAAATACATGTAAACTTACTGATATTTGTACTCCCATTTGTGGAAAATTTTTTTTTCATATTTGTTGTATATGTCATGTCTTAAATCTTTGCGTGCAACTGGTTATCATGCTTTTAAAGATTCGGCCATGCCAATTGGGGACACTGTTAATTATTTACATAAAAGTCCCTATGAAATGAAAGCATGGTTTAGATTTTGTAAAAATGGTGGGTTTAATTCTAAAATTCCAACCAGACGTCCCTAACCGGTGGAACTCAACATATAAAATAATGACGCGGCTCAATGGATGACGCATTATGAGAAACTTATTAGTGATACAAATCGTAAGGACTGTGACGTCCGAGTTACGACGAATGATTGGTTGAACTGTAGAGTACTTACTCAATATTTAGAAACATTTCAGAATGCTACTAACATGCTTTCTGGTGTATAGTATCCTACTGCTCAACTTGTGTTAAGTTAATCTATAGCCATAATGTGGGTTTTAATGACCTTTATTCTTTAGATCCTACTAAATATGGCAATTTAGTATAAGAAATGAATATCACAATCAAAATGAATCAAATTTTGAAAAAAAAAAAATGACAATTTTAAGTGTCTGCAGGTGTAGACAATAAATAACAGAAGAGAAACGTCTATTCATTCACATAAGATAG